ACCATGGCAACAGTCCATCCCAGATCGGGGGGGAGGGTGTGACTTGATTACCACGGCAACAGATTATTGGTTTACATGGTTACCATGGCAACGTGCTAGTGCAGCTCCAGGTTACCCCGTTACCGTGGCAATGGGACGTTCCAGGTTTGGTTTACCTGGTCACCATGGCAACAGGCAGCACAGGACCTTGGTTTCCATGGAAACATATGAGGTAGGACATGGCTTATCTGGCTACCATGGTAGTGGGTTATTCCAGGTCTGCGTTACCTGGTTACCATGGCAACAGGCTAGTCCAGCTCTGCGTTATCTGGTTACCATGGCAACGGGTTATTTCAGGTTTGGCTTACCTGGTTGCTATGGCAATGGGTTATTCCAGGTTTCAGTTACCGTGTTACCATGGGAATGGGTTGTTGTAGGTCTGGATTACCTGGTTACCATGGCAACGGGTTACTCCTGGTTTGGGTTACCTGGGTTACCATGGCAACGGGTTACTCCAGGTTTGGCTTACATGGTTACCATGGCAACGGGTTACTCCAGGCTTGGCTTACCTGGTTACCATGGCAATGGGTTATTCCAGGTTTGTGTTACCTGGTTACCATGGCAACGGGCAGCACAGGTACCCCTGGTGACAGGTGGAGCGGACGTTGCCATGGAAATGGGAAGGTGGGGACCGCAGGAAGCGGGAGGAGGCCATGGTAACCATGGCAACAGGCACAGCCACGGTAACCATGGCAATAGGGATGTACTGGATCATCGTGACCATGGCAACGGGCACAGCCACGGTAACCATGGCAACGGGGATGTGCAGGGCCAGGTTAACCATGGCAATGGGGCCTGGGCAGTGTAGCCATGGGTACAGGTGATATGGCAGAGGGGGAGGGCTGCACAGTAACCATGGCAACCATGGCTTGGGTACCACAGTAGCCACAGGTGACTGGGGATGGGGGGGATGGTAACCATGGCAACGGCTGAGTGATGGGGTAACCATGACACCGAGTGTTCAGTGGCAACGGCCGTGCAATGGGTGTATTGGGACCGTGGTAACCATGGCAACAGTTACCCCAAATAACCAGCGGGGGAGGGAATTATCATGGTAACCATGGCAACGGATAACGAGTGACCACGGTAACCATGACAACAGATGATGGAGGCCACAGTAACCATGGCAATGGATGATGGGTGACCATGGTAACCATGGCAATGGATAACAAGTGACCACAGTAACCATGGCAATGGATAACGAGTGACTACGGTAACCATGACAACAGATGATGTGGTACCACGGTAACCATAGCAGTGGATGGGGGGGAGAATCACGGTAACCATGACAACAGGTAATAAATGACCACAG